CCTGCTGCACCTTGTCTCTCCTTTGAGTGCATTATTTGCTTCAACCAGAAAATGACAAAAAGTGACTTTTATAAGAGTGGTGTAAAATTTGGCCCTCCCCTAAATAGTCTCTGTTTCTTTGCCACTGGAGGGAAAGGCAAAAGCCCTATCCAGGACCCTCAACCCAGTATGACCAGTGATTAGACAGTTCAGCTGACTTTGAATACATCTCCTGCCCTGCCCCAGATGAGAGTTTCCATGGCAAATATCACCTGCTGTGCTTAACAAATTAGGGCCATTCCTGCATAATGTCAGGATGTTTCTAGGGACGTTGGAATGTGCTAATGATTCCTCCTGCATCTCAATTTGATGTGGTTTTGATGGCCGGCCTATTCCTTTTGGAAAAGCTTGTGACTAGGCTTCATTCTCTTTTTGCAACTACTTCAGCCTTACTTTGTCTGTCAAATTAAAAAATGATATTGTGTCTTTGAGAGTGAATGATTAGAAACTTGAATTCATCTTTATATCAAAACAGTTTTATAATGCAAACCAATATTCTCTCTAAGCCAAATGGTTAAAAATTCTGAAATACAACAGAGAATGCAGTATTATAATCCAAGAATTTCTTCTAATTGCACAAGAACAGAGACAGCTGAATTCCTGTATTAGATTACAGCTGTGACGTCTCTGCATTCAGTATATAATGTATAAGTTATCTGGCATTTGGCCCTGTTTTGTGACAGCAGGAGCTGTCAGTACAGGCATCAATAGTGAGTGGAGGTAGCAACTGTGAGTGCAGACAGCAGCTGGTTAAGCGCTCAATATATGTTCTTAAGATATATTGTCTTTTGAAAAAAAACTAATAATTGTATTCTCATTGACAGACTACAGAGTTGATTGTGGTGGTGGCCCTTTCCTTTTGTGTTATTTTTCTACATTTTGACACATTTTCTTTCTTCAGAATTTTCTAAGTCTGCAATCTGCGCATGAATTTTTATTGCAATTAACATGCCCACTTCAAACTCTGATCTTCCTACATTCGGTCTACAGTACTCTTAGTAAGATAAAACTTCAATTGTTTCAATAGAACATGTCTTGAATGATTCCTTTCTTGACACTGTTACAAAGAACAAATAATAAAATAAATTAGAAACTGAGTACATATTTTTTGCCACGCAAAGTTATTTTTCTGTTATTATTGAGTCATTTTTAAACAGGATGAGTGCAGATTCCGTTTCAGATGCCTTCTTGTTTGTTCTTGTTTCTTGTTTGTCTTTCCACCCTTGTATTCTGTTGTGACTAGCTGTAATTAAATGGATTAAATATCAAAAACTAATAAATGTTATATTGTTATAATCTGTGTAATGTTATATTAGTGGCTGATCCGGCTACACTTGGTATATTTTGAACATTTTTCATTTTACTATAGTTATGTGCCATTATCATTCATCTTACATTATGCAAATTCACGGTCTTGATTAACAAAATGTCAAATAATTTCAACAACAACTGACATGGTGGAAATTGCATAGACATGCCCTTGTCCATGTGCCAGATGCAAGCTGGAAGAACAACACCTCATTTTCCGCTTGGGGACCCTGCAGCCCTCCGGACTCAATATCGAGTTCAATAATTTTAGGGCCTAAACTCTCCCATGTCCCAGCCCCCTACTCCACACACCAGGCCTTTTACTACATAGCCTGCCATTACAAACCACCTGTTGTTAGTCACTAATAGTCCCCATTAACAACTCCCTCCCAGCCTGATCGTTATCAACGCTGTCCAACTGCTTTTCTCTCTCTTTAGGCTGTATCCTATCGTTTAGTCCCTACCCCACCCCCCTCACTATTTTCTGCATGTAAACTGATGTTTTCCCAGCCACCATCAGTTCTGAGGAAGGGTCACTGGACTCGAAACATTAACTCTTTTTTCCTTCACAGATGCTGCCAGACCTGCTGAGCTTTTCCAGCAACTTTGTTTTTGTTCCCGATTCACAGCATCCACAGTTCTTTCGGTTTTTTCAATCACGGGGATAGCTGACTGGAACCAGACCAGACCTAAGTCAACAACTTCAAAAATTTTGGAGCTGTCAGAAATACCAAGGCATTCAGCTTCAATTAATATTCATTCATAGAAAACACTGGACATTCCATGTAATCAAAATACATTTACACTTATTCTAAACAATTAGGAAACCTATTCACCTCCGATTGAAAGATATTTACACCTATTCTAAGGATCAGAAAGCCAATTCACCCCCAGAAGAATAACAGTAATACTATTGCTAAAGCCAGATTTGGCACCGATATAAGAGACGTGCACTTTAGTATAATTGTAGGCCCCAATCTCAGCTGAACGAGACAGAAGGGGAAAAAGAGAGGAGAGCTATTCCCCTCAGCTACATACAGGACTCCACAGAGAGCTACCGCACCAAGAAAGACTCCTACAGCTGTCTCCGGTGACCGACCACAACCTGCAGACTGAACGACCAATGACCTGATCAACACCTCAAGGCCTCAGGCACAACCTGAGGTGAAAACCCTACCACAAAACCCACCAAAAGTAAGCAAACTAAAGTGCTTTCCCGATACATTCCGTAACACGTCTTACTTCATCAGCAGACTCAACCCAGACTGAAGGCCTACACTGTCCGAAGTCTTCAGCGAAGCACCAGCTATGGCAAGCGGGGATAGCCAGCTGTGATTCAAAATCTGTTTACCCACTGTGGTGAGCTTACTTCCCTCAGGGCCTAAAGTATCCAACTTAGCTAGCAGGGAGAGAAAGGTGGGTTGGTGACAGTGCAGGGCATCCAAAAGTCAGGAAGTCTGATTAAAGTGTCTGTGTTTAAAACTACTGTTTAGTTTGTAATAGTAATTGGCCTGTGTTAAAAGTTAATAACTAATTGTGTCAGTTTCATTGTTTTGCATTTGTTTTATTATTTCTTGTAATTTATTCACCTTTGTATTATTTCCCTGTTTACTACTATTGCCTTTTTTTATTTCTTGTGAGATACGTGCCTTTGTATTTAATAAAAACAGAGATTCTTTGTCCCGAAACACCTGCCTCCTGATTTATTACTCCACCTTCACTAACCTAAGGCCAGTGTCAGAACCAGGGACCTGATGGGTGGTCCACGCTGCCTGAGAGTTTTGGCAGGGTTACCGATCGCACATGGACCAGAACTCCCTACACTTCAGGGGAGTGTAATGATCTATGAATAGGATTGATTAGCAAATATCTATAACTGGACTAGCCATATACTATAATGGCTGCAAAAGCAGGGCAAAGGCCATGAATTCTGCAATAAGTAACTTACTTTCTGACTCCCCAAAGCCTGTCTATCATCTACAAGGCACAAGTCAGGAGTGTGATCGAATACTCTGCTGTTGGCTCGATGGGCTTTTTGTCAAGAAACTCGATACCATCTAAGACAAAGCAGCAGGCTTAATTGAGACCCCATCAATCACCTTCAATGATTATAACCTTCACCATCGATGCAGAATTGTAGCTTCCAACTCTGTACATCTGGACAAGGAGAAGTTCCACAGGAACACCACAACCTGCAAATTCCCCTCCAAGCCTCATAATGCCTTGACTTAGAATTATTTTTATTTTATTTACTTATTTATGGAGTATGGCTGCTTCAATATTTATTGTCCATCCCTAGTTGCTCTTGAAAAGGTGGTAATGAACTGCCTTCTTGAGCTGCTGCAGTCCATTTGCTGTCAGCATACCAACCAAATCATTAGGAAGGGAGTTTCAGGATTTTGATCCAGCAACACTGAAGGAATAACGATATATTTCCAAGTCAGATTTGTGAGTGGCTTGGAGGGGAGCTTGTGGTGTTCTTATATATCTGCTGCCCTTATCCTTCTAGATGGTTGTGGGTTTGGAAGGTGCTGTATAAGGATCCTTGGTGAATTTCTGAGTGCATGTTGCAGATAGTACACACTGCTGCTACTGAGCATCTGTGTTGAAAGGAGTGAATGTTTGTGGATGTGGCATTAATCAAGTGGACTGCTTTATCCTGGATGGTGTTAAGCTTCTTAAGTATTGCTAAGGCAAATTCCTGGAACTCCATTCCTAGCAGCACTGTGGACATACACCTCAAGGACTGCAGTGCTTCAAGAATGCAGCTCACCAACAACTCCTCAAGACAAGTTCAGGATGGGCAATAATAGCCTATTCAGTAATGACCACGTCTCACAATTCTTAGGATACAGAGTAGGCCAATTTATCTGAGATGAGGTGAAATGTCTTTGCCCAGTGTGAGAATGTGGAATTCTCTGCCACAGAAAGTGGCTGAGGTCAAAACATAATGTTTTCAAGAAGAAGTTAGATATTGTTCTTAGGGCTAAAGGGATCAAAGGGTATGGGAAGAAAGTTGGAACAGGGTATTGAGTTGGATGTTCAGCTATAATCATACTGAATGGTGCAGTAGGTTCTAAGGGCCGAATAGTCTATTCCTGCTCCTAGTTTCTGCAGTCTCTATGAGGAGTTTAAACTCAGGAGTGGGCAACTACATCCTCCAGTTGCGATTACTGGGTTGACACAAAATCATTTAAAAAGGGTTAGTGCAGTGATTATAGCTTCATTTATCCAACATGAACTTTACAATTTTAGTTGTAGGGTAGGAGACTTTATCAGGAGCTCTCCTGTTTGAAGAGAAGTCATTCAGAGTAGGAAGGGAAAAAAACACGACGAAAATACTTGTGGATGTTAAGAGTTATATTGAAGTACAGTTCAGCAGAATGGCTTTAAACTGCAGGATATACTGTCTCTTTGTGCATATTCTCCTAAAAATTTTACGGTTTACACAAATAATATGTATGGTTATGGTGCCTATTATGTTCAAGTTGGAAGCAATATCTTATCAACTGTGTGTCACAGTTATGTTAAGTGCCATCTGTTCCCGCTCAGTGCTCCTTGGATTTCAACTCCAAACATGGTAACCTTTTCATTGCAACTTAGCTCTGTTGCCAAGACAAATTCTATCTCCCTCTCTCTCTCTCTGCGCACACGCGTACACACACATTCAACCCTGCTTTCTCCCTGCCTGCTTGGGCTCCTCAGCGATTAACTCAAAAATCCGAAATCTCCCCCAAGTTTGCTTTTCGAGCAGAAATGTTTAGGGAAAATTCAAGTTTCATCGAGACTATTTTGTACGATAGTCCTGGGTGTAAGATTTTGAAAAATGGGAGTGAAGGAGCTGTTTACCACTTGGCCAATGTCATGTTTACACTGGGCTACATGAGCGGCAGTGGGTTCTTTGGTCTCGTTTATCTGTTTAGTCTTTTGGGCGTTGGGTTTTTTATTCAGTCTCTTTGGGGCTGGGTCGATGCTTGCGGAGTGGATATTTTTATGTGGAGCCTGTTACTTTTTGTGTTCTGCTTGGTTCAACTGGCGCACATTGGTTACCGGCTGAGGAAGGTGAATTTCGATGAAGACTTCACGAATCTTTACAAAGCTATGTTCCGGCCCCTCGAAGTGCCGCTCAATGTCTACAAGGAGATCGTGAACTGCTGCGATGCCGAGGTGACGAGTCTCGCCCGTGAGCAGAACTACGCTGTGGAAGGCAAAACCGCAATTGACCGCTTGTCTCTGCTGCTCTCAGGCAGGTCAGTGGTAACAAGTGCTAGCAACCGGACAGTCAGCAACATAATACATTGGGCGGGGGGAGGCTCGGTGTGACCATTTGTTTGGTAGGATGTAACTGATACCAACGCCATTGCCCTTAAAAACATGTCGTGTTACTATGTAACTAGTTTTACCACATACTCCAGTCAAATCATTCTCAGTTACACAGATAGATGTGTTTTTATCAACCACATTGCCTCCAGGTTCAGTTCCTTGTAAGTCGTCGGGATAAAACACCTTAATTTGACTATTTTTAAGGAGGGAATGCTCAAAAAAAAGTTATTTCTCTTTCCGCCCTCAGCCTCAGATTGTGATTTTCTGAGAGTAGCTGAGGGTAAGGTAAGGTAGAACACGGTTTACGCTAACTTTTTCTTTGTTTTAACCATTGACATCTCGGCTTTTAATGTGATTCCACTTGGTGTTCAAATGGAACAAAGCAAAGTGGCCGCTGAGAATCCAGCCCCGGAAAGGCGCCAGTGTTTACTGAAGGATCCCCTCCCTCAGCAGTGGTCTATGTTGTAGATTTCAGTGTCCCCCAGGGGTACAGGTGGAATGCATACTCACCCTCACTTTAGTGAAACAGCTGTAACATGCTTTGTTGACTTTTTCCACTAAAATGGATATTTCATCATAAAAATGTTTTACTCTCCTCTGCCTTTAGTTAATAAGGACATGCAAAGTGAATGATCCTGTTTAACGTCATTGCCAACCGGGCCAGGTCTGCTCTGGGTTCAGTGATTCACCCTGACCAAACCTGTGCTGTACCAGGGAGTAAGGTCCCTGAGAGTCTCATGCTCCTCGGGGATTTGATTGCCTACATGCAGGACAGGGGGGTGGATGCCTGTCTCATCAGTCTGGCCCAGGAGAAGGCCTTTGACAGGATATCCCCACACCTACATGTGGGACGTGCTCTCCAAAGTGGGCTTTTGGGAGGGAATCCATAACTGGTTCTGACTGCTCTACACCAAAATCATTAGTGCTGTCTCAATCAGTGGGTGGGAATCAGAAAGCTTCCCGATCAGATCCAAAGTCAGGCAGGGCTACCCACTGCCTCCTGCTTTGTTTGTGTGTTGTGTAGACCCTTTTGCTGAGTCCATCAGGAAGGATGGGAGCCTGAGAGGGGTGACTGTTCCAGGCAGCAGAGAACTGCAGGTCAAAGCCTCCCTGTACATGGATGGCATCGCCATTTTCTGCTTGGATCCGGTGTTAAGTGCGCAGACTCATGAGTTCAAACTGGCCTTGGAAGCCAAGGTAAACCGAGGCAAGAGCAAGGCCATGTTCTTTGGGAAGTGGGCCGACTGATCCTTTATCCCCTTCACCATCAGGACAGATTACCTGAAGGTGCTGGGAATATGGTTCAGAGGGGCCGGGGCATGTGCAAAATCTTGGGAGGAACTTAGACCTAAGCTATTAAAAAGGATAGGTCTGGCGTTATTACTGCAGAACACCCCAAGTCGTTGGACCATTCCGTATCACCTGTCCTTCATGGAGAAATTTAGAAAGAAAAATACCTTTGACCACAAGTCCATCAGGAAGTGGTCTGCACGTAGCATTCTTGAGACCATGCGGGAAAAGGAGAGGTGGATCCTGTTGGATGGTTCCTTGGGGAGACAGTCAACGTTATTTGGCAGAATGCCTCATCATCAGAACTTTCCAACAAGCACCAAAACATTGCTTGACTGGTGTGAGACGGGCACTACCTGTGAGATCCTTCATGCATGCCCGGACACTCTGCACCACTGCACACTGCCCTCGAAGTGGCTCTGGGGAGGTAGGGAGGGGGGTACAGGTAGAGACTGTTACAATCTCCTTCTGGAATGTGCCTTTGCAAAGGAAGTCTGGAGAAAGATGCAGTGGTTTTTATCGGGGTTCCTCCCGAGCAATTCTGTGACGCAGAACTCCATGCTCTCTGGTCTGTTCCCCGGGACATGCCAAGATAAACATGGACCGCACCTGGAGGACCATCACCTCAGTGAAAGATGCTCTTTGGTCTACCCAAAACTTGTTGGTCTTCCAGAACAAGACAATGACCCTGAGTGTAGCAGACTGTAACATTCTAAGGTCCAGTACTATGTGTTGAGGGACGTACTAAAGCTTGGGGCAGCTGCTGCCAAGGTACAGTGGGGAAAGACCACCATTTAAGGTCTTTCTGCTGAAGTTAAATGGGAGTCTGTTCAGTTATCGGACCCTCCCGATTCCTCAAATATATGTAAATATCTCACGGGATCAAGGGATACAAAATTAACTTGAAGGTAGAAGACAGAAAGTGTTGGTAGAGGGCTGTCTTTCAAACTGGAGGCATGTGACCAGTGGTGTGGCTCAGGGGTTGGTGCTGAGTACGCTGTTATTCATTATTTATATAAATAATTTGCATGTGAATTTAGGAGGTATGATTAATAAGTTTGCGAATGACACCAAGATTGGTGGTATAGTGGACAGTGAAGAAGGTTATCTGGGAGTACAGTGAGATCTTGACCAACTGGGCCAGTGGGCTGAGGAATGGGAGATGGAGTTTAATTTAGATAAATGCAAAGTGTTGTACTTTGGTAGGTCAAACCAGGGTAGGACTTAACACAGTCAATGGTAGGGCCTGGGGAATGTTATAGAACAAAGAGTTCTAGGGGTGCAGGTTCATAGCTCCTTGAAAATGGGTAGACAGGGCAGTGAAGAAGGCTTTCGGCATGCTTGCTTTCATCGGTCTGAGCATTGAGTATAGGAGTTGGGACGTCTTGTTGCAGCTGTATAAGATGTTGGTAAGGCCGCATTTGAAGTGCAGTTTTGATCACCCTAATATAGAAAGGATATCATTAAACTAAAAGACTGCAGAAAAGATGTACTAGGATGCTACCTGGACTAGAAGGTTTGAGTTATACAAGAGGCTGGATAGGCTGGGACTTTTTTCCCTGGAATGTAAGAGACTAAGGGGTGACCTTATAGAGGTCTATAAAATCATGAGAGGTATAGATAAGGTAGTCAGCCAACAACTTTTCCTCAAGGTGGGAGAGTCGAAAACTAGAGAGCATAGGTTTAAGGTGAGAGGAGAGAGATTCAAAAGGGTCCAATGGGCAATTTTTTTCACACACAGGGTGGTGGGTGTGTGTAATGGGCTACCAGAGGTAGTGGTAGAGGTGAGTACAATTTTGACATTTGAGAAACATTTGAACAGGTACATTGATAGGATAGGGATTTGAACCAAATAAAGGCAAATGGGACTAGATTAATTGTGAAAACTGGGTGGCATGGACAAGTTGGGCCGAAGGGCCTGTTTCCATGCTGTAAACCTCTATGACTCTAATATTATCTTGTACAAATAAGAAATGGATAGATTCAAACTCCAATGTTTTTTGTTTCTTCATATGCTACTGTACAGAACTGAACTGCTTTAGGGACTATATATATATATATATATAAAGATATTCATATGAATGAAATATATTTTTGAAATAAAAAAAGTGATTCCCAGGTATACTGATAATGAATGGCACTGATAATGCAATATAGGGACTTGATTGATTACAATTTGTAATCATGAATTTCCAATCTCATGGTCACAAAAGTGAGGTTATAAGTAGGAGTTAGGCATTTCCCAGAGGGCAAGACAGAAAGTGACAGAGCACATTTCAGATACAGAGGAAACAGAAGCCAGCAAATTGTGCGCCTTCCCAGGCCATTGCTTCCCTCTGCAGCACCTGCCTGGATGGATGCAGCTTCAACACTCAAGAAGCTTGGCGCCATCCAAGACAAAGCAGCCCATTTGATTGGTACTACATTCACAACTTTCACTCCCTCCAACACCAATGTTCAGTAGCAGCAGTGTATACCATCTCAAAGATAAACTGCAGATATTCACCAAAGACTTTTAGATAGCACCTTCTAAACCCATAACCACTAAAATCTAGAAGGACAAAGGCAGCAAATACATGGGAACACCTTCACCTGCTTGTTCCCTCCAAACCACTCACTATCCTGACTTTGAAATATATCACCATTCCTTCAGTGTCAGATTCCATCCCTAATGGTATTGTGGGTCTTCCTACAGCAGATGAACTGTAGTGGTTCAACGAGGCAGCTCACCACCACTTTCTCGAGGGAAACTGGGGATGGGCAATAAATGCTGGCCCATCCAACAACGCCCATGACCCACAAGTGAATAAAAACAAAATTCGCCAGAGATTGCCATGCCAGAGTGGGGCCACTGAGCTACACCAGGCATTGCTTAACACAGAATTGAACACCATGGTGCAGACTGTAATTTTACAAGATGGGAGGTTGACATCTATTTTAGAGACAGTTATAGTTTACTTTATGCATTCCTCACTAAAATCCAGTTCATTCTTTGCTAACAATATAGATCTCCAACCATCCAATATTTGTATTGCAGAAGCCAAATAGACCAGATTAGCAACCATTGACAGAGTAGTTTGAGGTTTCACCACTAACTTCCCTTCTTCCTCAAGGTCCTCATGCCTCACCCAATTCAGTATGAAGTCCACATCTGGCCAGTGAAGTGATTATTTAAGACTTTTTAATCAGCACAACACATTCAATCCACTTTATTAAATTTCATACAAACTGGTCCATACTACCATCATTCAATAATCTCTAGAGACAATTTGCAGTTAAATTAACCCATCAGTCTCTCTCAATGATTGACTTCTCTGCTGTCAACTCAAGCCAGTCCAGCCTCTTGGACAGACATAGACTCCTAGCAATACCTGATCTTGAAAGAAGCTGTATGTAACTAAAGTCACCACTTTCATTTCAAATATTATTAATTAATTTCCTGTTCCTCAATTTACTATTTTCTTTATTACTAAAATGCCTCAATACCATTCAAGCTTCAATTTTAATAAAGGATGTGCACCTAAAAATATCAAATGTTTCTTTCACTTTACATTGCCTGATGTGCTGTGTAGTGCCAACATTTAGTTTCTTTATTTCAGATTTCCAGCATGAGCAGTTTTCCATTGTATAGCTGCCTAGTATTATCCATTGGGTCAGATGCCAAATGAATGTAATAATTTATCCAATATTGAGTATAACTTTCTGGCGAATTTGTTGAAGAACACAGAATCACAGAATTGTTATAGTGCGGTTTCTCATTCCTGGAAACATTCTGATAAATCACTTCTGCACTCCCTTCAATGCATTCATAACTTTCCTATAGTACAACACCAGGCTGGTCTGTCATTGTCATGACCTCAGATCAACCCTTTTAATAATGACCAATGAATCACTTCAGCAATTTTTTTTTAAAAATTGAAAACATTTGTTGTATAATTCTGATCATTACAAATATGTGCGACTGATTGATCCTGCATCATGGATGAAGGTGGACCAGTGGATGTGGTATACATGTATTTAAGTAAGGCATTTGATAAGGTTCCCCATGGTAGGGTCATGCAGAAAGTAAGGAGGCCTGGGATAGGGGGAAATGTGGCAGATTGGATTCAGAATTGACTGACCCTTAGAAGACAAAGAGTGGTAGTGGATGGAAAATATTCAACGTGGTGCTCAGTTACAAGTGGTGTACCACAAGGATCAGTTCTGGGTCTTCTTCTATTTGTAATTCTTGTAAATGATTTGGATGTAGGAGTAGAAGGGTGGATTAGTAAGTTCGCGGATGATACGAAGGTGTGTTGAGTTGTGGACAGTGCGGAGGGCTGTTCTAGGTTACAAAGGGACATTGATAGGATGCAGAGCTGGGCTGAGAAGTGGCAGATGGAGTTTAACCCTGACAAGTGTGAGGTGATTCATTTTGGAAGGACAAACTTGAAAACAGAATACAGGGTTAACGGAAAGATTCTTGGCAGTGTGGAGGAACAGCGGGATCTTGGGGTTCATGTCCACAGTTTCCTGAAAGCTGCCACCCAGTTGGATAGAGTTGTTAAGAAGGCGTATGGTGTGTTAGCTTTCATTAATAGAGGGATTGAGATCAAGAACCGTGAAGTTATGCTCCAGCGAGACAAAACCCTGGTTCGGCCACATCTGGAGTATTGTGTCCAGTTCTGGTCGCCTCATTACAAGAAAGATGTGGAAGTGTTGGAAAAGGTGCAGAGGAGATTTACCAGGATGTTGCCTGGAATGGAGGTAAGGTCTTACGAGGAAAGGTTGAGAGAGCTAGGGCTTTTCTCTTTAGAACGACGAAGCATGTTAGGTTACTTGATAGAGGTGTACAAAATGATCAGAGGTATAGATAGAGTGGACAGCCAGAGACATTTTCCTAGGGTGGAGGTAGCTATTAGGAGGGGGCATAGTTTTAAAGTGAGTGGAGGTAGATATAGGGGAGACATCAGAGGTAGGTTCTTTACTCAGAGAGTGGTCGAGGCATGGAATGCATTGCCGGAGCGGGTAGTGGAGTCGGCCTCATTAGGGGCATTTAAGCGGCTATTAGATAGGCATATGGATGATAAGGTAGGGGTGGAGGTTAGATAGACCTTAGGATTAGGGTAAAAGTTCAGCACAACATCGTGGATGAAGGGCCTGTACTGTTCTATGTTCTATGTTCTATGATTTCCCCAATGACCTTTACAATGCACTACGTCTCAAAATTTATCTTTGCAGATGCTTTTGATTCCACCAAAAGAGATTTAGATAGCATGTACAGCATTACACCTTCCCTTAAATTAGTTGCTCACAACAATACCTCTCCTATTTTGTAGTTACCTTGATGAAGCTATGATCAATGATTTGGCAGCTAGTACAGTTTTGCTGAAGTTCGTTCATGCGTTTGGCTGTAAAGGCAAGAAAATCATTGACTAAATCATCCATTGTTAAATTCACTGCATTACAAATCTTGCAGATGCAGCTTGCTTTATGTTTAGCAATTATACGCTTGTGGCCATGCTCCTTGTCAAAGTCACATGTTACATTGAGGTTATAAGGGATTCATATTTGGCAATTTCATAATATCTGTGGCCTTGGTCAGCCCCTCAGCATTTGTTGAACTAAGTCCATGATTCCTTTCAAACCTCAGGAATCTCAAAAAGCAGGAAAGCAAGGGAAGTGAGTAAGGATCAAAATCTAAAGTGTTTCAGAATTGCAATGATGGATCACAATTTAAAGCCTTTCTTTGCATTGTCGTATTTGACTCTTCCACTTCCCAATTAACACTGGTTAAAGTCAGATGAATTAAAGATGTTGAAAAGTTACCTTTGTACTGGCTGTGAAAACTGGACAGTACAGGAAAACTCACTTCAGTGAAGGGTAGAAATAACTTCAAAAAAATAGTTATCATCACTAAATGTCAAAAATACATTTTATTCTGTAAAGGAAAATAAATTAATTTTATGTTTTTATTTACAGAGTTCGTGTTACTCATGAACAGCAGTTTCTACACTACATCTTTCCGTATCAGTTCCTTGATTCTCCAGAATGGGAATCTCTGCGGCCTAATGAAGAAGGCAATTTTCAAGTAATTATTTTTTAAATTTGTCTAATGTTTAAAGTGAATCGTCAATATAATAACTAACTTTATAATGTAATTCTTGTATCTATCTTTATGAATATATTAAAAAAAGTTGGCCTGAAGTTAGTACAAGGATAGTAGGAACTGCCGATGCTGGAGAATCTGAGATAACAAGGTGTAGAGCTGGATGAACACAGCAGGCCAAGCAGCATCAGAGGAGCAGGAAAGCTGACGTTTCGGGTCGAGACCCTTCTTCATTTTTTTCTGAAGAAGGGCCTAGGCCTGAAACGTCGGCTTTCCTGCTCCTCTGATGCTGCTTGGCCTGCTGTGTTCATCCAGCCCTACACCTTGTTATCTCAGATTCTCCAGCATCGGCAGTTCCTACTATTACTGCCACGTGTTCCCAGTTGGCCTCCCATCTTCCATTCTGCATAACCTGATGTTTACCCAAAGCTGTGCTTGGTCTAAATCTTATTCATCCATCAGGTTCATGTGTCTTTTGATCTTCACTGGCTCCCTGGATGACCAGTCCTCAATTTTAAAACCTGCATCATTGTTTTCAAAACCTTCTATGGTCTCTCACCTTTATGTCTGTGTGACCTTAAACAGCATTATAAATTTTCAAATCCCTGTGCTCTTGAAATTCAGGCCTCTTGCACATCCCTGATTTTAACCATTCCTCCAGTGGGAGACCTACCTTGGTTCTAAGCTTTGATATTCCCTTTGCCAACCACTTTGCCCTTCATCCTCTCTCTTCTCTTTTAAGATGCATGTTAAAAGCAGCCTCTTTTGGTCATTTGAAAACCAAAAGAACTCAGGATGCTGCAAATCAGGAACAAAAACAGAAGTCGCTGGAAAAGCTCAGCATGTCTTGCAGCATGTGTGAATAAAAATCAGAGGTAATGTTTTGGGTCCAGTGACTCTTCCTCAGAACTGATGGTAACTGGGAAAATATCAGTTTATATGCAGACAATAGGGTGAGGGGAGGGGGTAAAGTAAAAACAGTAGGTGGGGATAGAAACCCAAAGAGAGAGAAGAATACTTGGATAGTCTAACGAGTTGATAACAATCTGGCTGGGATGGTGAATAGTTGTTAATGGAGACTGTCAATAGCTACCAATAGGTAGTGTATAATGGCGGGCTATGTGATAACAAGGCCTGGTGCGTAGGGTAGGGGGCTATGGTATGGGAGAGTTCAGGTCCTAAAATTATTGAACTTGATATTGAGTCCAGAGGGCTGCAGGGTCCCCAAGCAAAAAATGAAGTGTTGTTTTTCCAGTTTGCGCTGAGCTTTGCTGGAACACTGCAGCAAGCCTGAGACGGAGATTTGGCCAGGGAACAGGGTGGTGTATTAAAGTGGCAGGCAACGAGAAGCTTAGGGTCTTTTTTGCAGGCAGAATGTAAATATTCTGCAAAGCGGTCACCCGGTCTACGCTTCGTTTCCCCAATGTAGAGGAGACTACATTGTGAGCAGCGAATGCAGTAGGCTAGATTCTGGGAAGTGCAGGTGAATTACTGCTTGGGCCCATGGATACTGAGGAGGAAGGAAATAAATGGGCTGGTGTTACACCTTCACCGGTTACAGGGGAAGGTGCTGTAGCACTGTGCAGGGGTGTTGGGAGTGAAGGAAGGGTGGACCAGGGTGTCTTGGAGGAAATGATCCTTGTGGAAGGTGGATAAGGGAGGGGAGGGGAATATGTGTGTGGTGGTGGCATCTTGCTTGAGGTGGCAGAAATAGAACATAGAACGTAGAACAGTACAGCATAGTACAGGACCTTCGGCCCACGATGTTGTGTCGAACTTTTACCCTAATAATAAGGTCTATCTAACCTCCACCCGTACCTTATACTATCATCCATATGCCTATCTAATAGCCGTTTAAATGCCCCTAATGAGGCCGACTCCACTACCCTCTCCGGCAATGCATTCCATGCCCCGACTACTCTCTGAGTAAAGAACCTACCTCTGATGTCTCCCCATGTCTACCCCCACTCACTTTAAAACTATGCCCCCTCATAATAGCTACCTCCACCCTAGGAAATAGTCTCTGGCTGTCCACTCTATCTATACCTCTGATCATTTTGTACACCTCTATCAAGTCACCTCTCATTCTTCGTCGTTCTAAAGAGAAAAGCCCTAGCTCTCTCAAACTTTCCTCATAAGACCTTCCCTCCATTTCAGGCGACATCCTGGTAAATCTCCTCTGCACCTTTTCCAATGCTTCCACATCTTTCCTGTAATGAGGCAACCAGAACTGGACACAATACTCCAGATGTGGCCGAACCAGGCTTTTGTATAGCTGGAGCATAACATCACGACTCTTGAACTCAATCCCTCTAGTAATGAAAGCTAAGACACCATACACCTTCTTAACAACTCTATCCACCCGGGTGGCAACTTTCAGGGAACTGTGAACATGAGCCCTAAGATCCCTCTGCACCTCCACACTGCCAAGAATCTTTCCATTAACCCTGTATTCTGCTTTCAAGTTTGACCGTCCAAAATGAATCACATCACACTTTTCAGGGTTAACCTCCGTCTGCTACTTCTCAGCCCAGCTCTGCATCCTATCAATGTCCCTTTGTAACCTAGAACAGCCCTCCGCACTATCCACAACTTGACCCACCTTCATATCGTCCACGAACTTACTAACCCACCCTTCCGCTCCTTCATCTAAATCATTTACAAAAATAACAAATAGAAGAGGACCCAGAACAGATCCTTATGGTACACTACTCGTAACTGAGCACCATGTTGAATATTTTCCATCCACTACCATCCTTTATCTTCTAAAGGTCAGCCAATTCTGAATCCAATCTGCCACATTTCCCCCTATCCCATGCCTCCTTATCTTCTGCATGAGCCTACCATGGGGAACCTTATCAAACGCCTTACTTAAATCCATGTATACCACATCCACTGCTCTACCTTCATCCATGTGTTTGGTCACCTCTTCAAAGAATTCAATAAGGTTTGTGAGGCATGATCTACCCCTCACAAATCCATGCTGACTATCACAAATCAAACTGTGCCTTTCCAAGTGATCATAAATCCTATCTCTCAGAGCCCTTTCCAATAATTTGCCCACCACTGACGTAAGACTAACTGGCCTGTAATTTCCAGGGTTATCCTTATTCCCTTTTTTGAACAAGGGAATGACGTTTGCCTCTCTCCAATCTTCCGGCACTATACCCGTGGCCAGTGAGGATGAAAAGATCATCGCCAAAGGCCATGCGATCTCTTCCCTCACTTCCCATAGAATCCTTGGATAAATCCCATCAGGCCCGGGGGACTTATCTATCTTCAAGTTCCTCAAAATTCCTAGTACATCTTTCTTACTAACATCGACCTTCTCTAGCCTACCAGCCTGTTTCACACTGTCCTCCTCTACAACTAGGTCCCTCTCAGTTGTGAATACCGAAGAAAAGTATTCATTAAGGACCTCTCCTATCTCTTTAGGCTCCGTGCTCAAATTCCCTTTACAATCCTTGATCGGCTGTACCCTTTCTCTGGTTATTCTCTTATTCCTCATGTACGTGGCAGCTGATAATCTTCTGGATGTGCATGCTGGTGGGATGGTAGGTAAGGACAAGGGGAACCCTATCACTGTTGCAGGAGGGAAGCGAGGGGGTTAGGGCGGAAGTGTGGGAGATGGGTCGGACCCGGTTGAGGGCCCTGTTGACAATGGTGCCGGGGAATCCATAGTTGAGGAAAAAGTTGAGGAGGCTGCATTGTCGAAGTTGGCCTCATCTGAACATATGCAACGGAGATGGAGGAACTGACAGAATGGGATGGAGTCTGTCCAGGAAGTAGAACATGAGGATGTATAGTCCAGGCAGCTGTGGGAGTCAGTGAGTTTGTAATGGATATTAGTGCCAGTCTATCCCCAGAAATGGAAACAGAGTTGTTGAGGAAAGGGAGGGAGGAGTCAGAGATAGACCAGGTGAAAGTGAGGACAGGGTGGAAATTAGAAGCGAAACTGATGAATGTTACCAATTCTGGATGAGATGGAAGTAGCACCGATGATATCATTGTTATAGCGGAGAAAGAGTTGTGGCTGGGGGCCAAATAAGACTGGAACAAGGAATGTTCCATGTATCCCACGACGAGACAGGCATAACTGAGGCCCATGTGGATACCCATGGCCACCCATCTGATTTGGAGACAATGAGAAGAGTTAAATGAGAAGTTGTTGAGGGTGAGGATGAGCTTGGCCAAGCAGAGGAGGGTGGTGGTGGGTGGGGATGTAGCCATTCTGAAAATATTTACAAGAGTCTTGTCCTTTTGTGGAAAAGAAAGGAAATTTTATAGAGCACGAAAGAGGTCCATGAAAATCTTTGACAAATCTGTTTTGATTTCAGGAGTTCAGGGGTGCAGAGAAGATTTACCAGGATGTTGCCTGGTCTGGAGGGTTTTACTGATGAGGAGAGGTTGGATAAACTCGGATTGTTTTCACGGAAAAGATGGAGGCTGATGGGCGACCTAATAGAGGTCTACAAAGGTCAACTATAAGAGGGCACTTGTTGTGCGTGGGTGAATGAGTGAGTGGATTAGCAGTTATGACCTTCTGAAAGTGAGCTGGCCAGTGTAATGGATTTGAATTTTCTGTGGATGTCTAAAGTTGGTGCCGGAAGTATTTAAACTGCTGGTTCCAGTATTCAGTTACATTCTCACATTAGATCTAAGACCTTCTGGCATTGGGCTACCTAGTGCCTGGCTCAGCATGGGAATAACCCATCCAAAAGCCCATGGCGTTCATCACCTGAAAGTACACTTTAGCAGTGCTATTTGAAGAGCTTACCTGCATATAATGGAAGTGATTATGCATCATACTGCCTGCCCCCAGTGCCTGTCTTGTGTGTCTCTTTATTCGTGGTCTCACGTGAAGTGTTATTACATTGATTGCAATTTGAGAAAGGGAATGCTGCTTAGCTTCTGTTCAAGCAACCTCAGATATGAATGGGGGCTTGAGAGGAAAGAGACTTTATCCTTGGAGGTGGCAGTGG